TTTGGAGATGATGCAAGGAGGTTTGGAGATGATGGAAGATGGTTTGGAGATGATGCTGGAGATGATGCAAGGAGGTTTGATGAGCGAGGGTAGAATAAAAGTGGATGCTGCGCCTTCGGCTGCACGGGTGGGTACCAAGAGGCTAATGAGTACGGTTGTCGAGACGATGTAGCGAATTGTAACCATGGGTAGGTTTGGGTGTCTATTGTCGAGGCAATTTCAGAATGATGAAAAGCGATCGCCCCATTCATCAAATAGCTCATCGAATCATCTTCCACTGTACCTTTGCTCCCTATATTCAGAGACCATATGATGCAGACAGAAGTATGTACATGCCGACTTCGAAGTAATGCTTTACCTAGTGTCTCCACCGCACAGAATGCTAGACCTTTTATTACGTAGTACTTTGGTACGGATAAGTACTCACTTCTCATTCCAACCTTACTGACCACACTACTGACCAGGTACAAACCACTTATAATCGACAGGGTGGATGGCACGAAATCGGTCTCTATGGAATGCTCAAAATCGTTAAGCCGGGTATGAAAAACGTTAAGACCCACCAACATTCTGATAAAATGGAGCGTCTATGTGCGATGACATACCAATTTCATCAGATTGCTCAAGGACAGCCCTTGAAGTTCAATTTGTAGACACAGAATGTTGACGATGAAGTGGGATGATCGCACCATATCGAAACATCTACAGTATTGTAGCAAACATCAGGTAGAGTACCTGTTCTGCAGCGTGCAGAGCAATTGGGTCGCGCGTTAGTTTGACCCATTGCAAACACACACACTCTGTGTGTGTGGCGTGTCAAAGGTTCCGATACCTTAGTGGAGGTACTGAGTACTTTAGTGAATGGTAGTCAGTAGAGGCCTCGAGGCGTGTTTAACCTCACTAATATCAGTGTGTATATTTGCTGCCTTGACGAAGGTCCCGTGGCCGAAAGCCAAGAAGAAGCGGGAGACAATACAGTACCGTATTTGTTTAGTATCCTAAGGCGAAAATGCAGTTCCTATAACACTGAAACACCGGACCAAAATTCATCGAAACGCCGCGACCAAAGGATTTAAAGAAGGATGGTCTAGACAAGTCGACCGTTGATATCGGTCCACTCATTCACGCAGTTCAACAGCCATAAGAAACACGTAAGGCCTTCCAACTCGTAGAAATGGATGCTCCACAGAGCGTGATTACGACTGCGAGATGAATTCGTGCATGTGTCGCTTAATCTCGATAGGGTTTCTGTTACGATAGTTCGTGCAATTCATATCGACATTGATCGCTGCATGCACGAACACTGCCGTGAGCAGTCGATTCATGGTCGCAGACAAGTTTACTGCGAAATACAGTGCTACGTATGATGACCTTAGTGTAAACTAATACTTCAAAGTACTTCGTAGTATAGCGTTGTGTTTTGCTCGTTTTTCGCTTTCAGTACACGACAAACGACCCAACCAGATTTGTATTGTGGTTGAAGCAAGTAGTCGTACCGAAGGTACACGAATGGTCTCAACTGAGAAAGCAGACGACTCATGCATAGAGTAAAACGAACTTCCTACAAGAGTGATTTGGAGGTCCGGTGTTGAGCGCAACGATGATGCTAATGATATGGAGGACCTACAGTGTTGGTGATTGTCTCATTAGAATAGATGCTTTTGATCGTTGGTTGCAGCTTGAGTTTGGTAGTGCGTCAATGCAGCTCGTCAATCCCCCGATTTCGGCGCTGGTTCCATGCCACGAAAATTACGAAATGAACGCACAAATTTATCAAATTTATACACCACAGAAAGGGTTTTGTTCCAAACAAAATAGGATGTTGCTGGTAGCTAAGTGTCAAATATGACTATATGTGCGCAGGGCGGCACTGGTTTTCAGAGGTTTTGAAATAAATACGTAGAGGTACCAAGAAATACTGTGATTGGGAGAGCCAGGTGTTGCGGTACACTGTGTGATGGACGCGAGGGTGATGGGTATCGGAACGTTCGTGGAACAACGCAGTGATGATGATGAGCACCATGCGGTCTTGAATCGCTCTGGTAGTTGGACTTGGTATGTGCTTGACGTCCCATAGCACACGGGTCCACGCTAATGGCGCTGATCGGTCGCAGAGGTCGGCGTAAGGAGCAGAGTGTAGGGGCACTTGGTCCACAGCGGTTGGTAGGGCGCTTGGACGCGGAGGATTTGGAGAAGTTCGACGACGGATGAACGGAGAGGGCAGTCGGCGTCTTGTAGGCGGAGTCATCGGTGGACAGACATCGTCCAGTCAAGGAACGACAGCTCATTCCACGATGGGGGAGGCAGCGGAGTCGCCGCTTCATACTGAACCTTGTTGTGCTTGGTCCATATGAGGTGGAGGGTTGAGGCTATGGGAAGGATCCATAGGGTCTTGAGGGCATCCTGGAGATGGCGACCGCGCGCATTGACTGTAAAATGGTCAAGGTCTGAGATAGTCGACCACGAAAAGGTGACCCCGTAGTGCCTCTAGGCGTCGCGGTGAAACGCCCATACTGGGTGGATTTGGGGGCATGCGTGAAAGGCGTGGTGTTGCGTTTCCACGCCACCACAGCCGTAAGCACAGCAGATGGCATCGGGACGCTCAACTTGGAGGTAGGTAAAGCGGCAGTTAACAGGGAGCACGCGGACAGGATGCATAGCCACACATCCCGATGCACCGGTGGAGGCAACTGACAGGTCTGTTGGACACGCCTGACATAGTTTTGAGGGAAGCAGTGGTGGCTCGGGCAGTGCTGGGCATGGGGTGGTGTGTCTCGGTAGCTGGGGCATGATAGGCCAAGGCTAACACCATACGCCGTGGCCAGAGCTCGAAAGGGGAGGGAATGTTCTTAGCCAGGCCGTAGAAGGAGTGCCTAGCAGGGTTGGGCAGGGGGGGCTGACTGAGTCCCTGGACCCTGGCGTAGACACAAGTGAGATGGTTGTAAATCATCCCCGAACGATACACTGGGGCCCATTGCATTCGTCTGTCGTTGCCGAGCTCCGCTGGGACCTCTGGGTTGCCCTGACACATCATAACCATGAACTCCGGACGGGTGGGCCATCGCCCGTGCACGGCAACGATATCGGCTAGACATCGTAGCTGGGTGTATGCACCGCACCATGACTATACCACCGTCGAGTTGGGAGGGAGTTGCGAGCTGCACATTTGCTATTCCACATGGTGGGCTCGTAGTCCGTAAGCCACACTGGAAGCTGCATAGTTGTCACTGGGGTCAGGGGCAGCTGAATGCGCGAGCCATCAGTGTAGCCGACCACTGTCTCCACACATCCATCAACAGAGGGTTTAGTTCCCACAGCGTGAGCTACTTTGACTTGTAGTTGGGGTGGTACAATAAAAAAGTCAAATGGACTGGATACACGATGGAGCCGACCCATACACCTCTCAAACTGGCGAAAAATCAGTGGTTGCCAACGTGGACGGTCAGGTGTTGCCAGGGACATGGCACGTTGAAGGAGCTGTAGCCGTTGCGCACGGGTCCTGGACGCAATGTGAGGTAGCCCAAGGCCTAATTTCGAGTCAAATGGCAGACGTGCAGTCAGCAAAGGATGGTGACGGTCTGTAGGAATAGACTTGCGGCCGAGGATGTAGCGGTTGAGCATAGACTGCCAGCTCTGTACCATGGCGGGTGGCACAGGTAGAGCGGCCGTAACATGTCACATGAGTGAGAGCATGACAGTATTGGGCAGCAACCGATGCCCTTGGAGCGTCCGAGCACGGCAGCCCCATTGTTGGAAGCTGGCCATAAACCTCTCGTGGACGAGGTTGAGTTGGTGGTCGGCTGGGAGCTGGTGGCCAAGCATGAGTTAATGGTACTTCACAGGTTGGCCTGTGGGCAAAATGTTCAGGAGACCCCTGCCGTCAGTGTCGGCAGGGTCGAGGTGACCGGTGAGAACCAGAGTTTGACATTTGGCTTGGTTCAAAAGCGCCCCAGACACAACACAGAACTCCTCAACGATGGCCATCTGCTCGACAGCAGCAGGCAGATCCTTCGACAAGAGTGTCGAGTCATGCGATACTTCCCTGAAGCGTCTAGCCATTAAGTGATAAGCGCCGAGAGGATGGTCTTGAAATCTTGTCCCAGAAACGCCCCACTCCTGGGGATCACGACTTCCTTGAGCCCTCGAGTCCGTCGATGTCCCGGGAGGATCGTGTTGCTGGGAGGATGGTTTTCGTCATCGGCCGGGAATTCAATTCGTCCGCTACCGAGAGTACTGTCTTCATCATCGACCGGGAATTGCGAGTCGCCCGCGCCGAGGCGATGGTGTTGTAATCTTCAAATCCGGCGGCATTCTTCATCGGCTACTACCATGGTCGCGACCAGGAGCTTACGGGGTACTCAAGGTACGTCCCAGAATGGAGAAGGCGTTCTCCAAACCATCCAGGGAGGTGTATCTGGGGGCTTGACTATGCTCGGATAACCTCGATCTTGATTCTTCAACGGCGAGCCATCTTCGATACCAATCCCGGCATGGGGTGACAAAGGCTCAAGAGCCAAGTTAGCACCCATGACCAGTAGTGCTGATTTCTTCGGCGGCTTGATGCGCGGTTCCGGGGCTTCTCCCGCAAGGCGTCTTGACTAGCCGCGCCGTCATCGATGGTTGGTTTTCCGTTGACATCCTCCTCTTCTTCTTTCAACTCCCTTTGCAAACGCCTACCCTGCTTCTCCACCAGAATGTCACTGGGATTTGACGATAAAAGGGTCCACAAGGTAGGTGTGGCGCATGCGAGCGTAAGACCAGACACAAGTGTGGGAAGAAGGAAAGAAGTGAAAGTCATGGTTAGTTATCTAGCAGAAGCGATGACGTCGTACTTTTCCGACGTTAAGTAAGTATTCTACGGTCATGGGTAATGCTTGGTGACCAGGTTGAAGTTGGCCCGCGAGGTACCCAGGTAATCCAGGATCGGTCCAGGAGTACTCTAGAATAGTACCCCGGGGCACAGGTTACGACTGTTACCCTGTACTAGTCGTTGGAATCTTGGTCAATTTCGCCCTATGATAATGAGACCACGGAAGTACACCACCACCCAACACGGCCAGCGACCGATCGGCGCCGGAATTATTGCCAAAAGTCTTTGGAAGGCGACTATGCCGATCTGGAAAACTACGATGATGAGAAGACCGATCAGGGTGGAGAACAAGAGCGACAGCAAGTGGCGAGAGAAGAGCGGAAGCGAGACAAGGCGGCAAAACCTTATCGACCCGACAGTGAAAGCGAAGACGAACGTCGGAAGGCCAATGTGGAGCGATGTAGACGGAATCGCGAAGCGAAACCATAGAACAAGAAAATCGACTACGTAGCAGGCCAAGGCGGAACATGCCCGTCGATTGACAGCTGCTTTTGACTCACCTGTGTGGAAGCCATCAGCGCAGCAGTGGACAACACAACCATGGAATTAAGGATAGACTCCAGTGAGTAGTCCACACCAGGGTGGACCTTCACTGGTGCTTAAAGACATCGAGAACCGCCCCCATCACGACTGTCGACCGTGACTCTCTGGTGGCATGGAAGCGCAAACATGACCGGTATGAAATGAAGATCAAGGCGAACGCCCAGAGAATGCGACATGACTGGCGCACTAAAGCTGCCCCCCGGCTCCAATCATCGAACCAGCTGATCGCAGCATGGTTGAAGCTGCTTGCCTGTATCTGTGGGACATCAACATCGATGACCTGGATGAAAGCGAGTTTCGCGAGTGCATACTTCCTCTGTTCCACGAATCTGGCGACGTTAAAAAATTCCACTTTTTCCACATTACTGGCGACATTTCTGTACTATTGGCTCAAACACAAATGAATGCATGTTATTGGTTAAAAACCTCACTGGAAACAATTTGGCACGCTACTCCAACAAAGATGCAGGAGAGGTAACATTGACCATAGGGGTCCCGGCACGACGCAATGCATCCTTCGTCAGATAAGGTAAGCGAAAGTGATTGTCACCTTTGTGCTCTAGCACCAAGCGCATAACGGCCTGAAACGTGACGAATTCGTTGTCCAGCTTGTCCGACGAGAGCGCTTGAAAAGCCGGCAGTGTTGAGCGAATGACATCATCGATCGATCGACTCTTGTATTGTAGCGACTGGATGGACGCAAAGAAACCCAGGTAAAGGACATTGAGGTCTGGGCTGTTGGGCGGTTGGCGCCGCACAACAAACTTCCATCCATCCGTTGACATGCACGCAAGAACCTCGTCAGTGATTGATCGATGCAGCGAGGCGTTGTCGTGCTGTAGGACAACCCGATTGTTAGCACTTGGAAAGCAAGCCTTGATCGCAGGTATCACACGCGTAATAACGTAGTCACGGTACACAACAGCATCCACGTTCACCAAGGTAGTCACAAGCGTGCCAGCTGGGCGGTTTCGGGAGTTTCGGACGGCAGGCACGTATTTCACTATAGGCCACATCCCAATCTTCCCGTCAAAACTCACTCCTTCCTCAGGGCCATATCGTGGACGCGCGACTGCCGCCAAGAACATGAACTTGGGAATGAACTTCTTGCTCTTTGCCACGCGTCGCCCGATTGTCTGGCCTTTGACGAGGTAAACCTTCCGGCGATCCTTGTCGGCATTGAACCATTTCTCATCCAGGTGTACAACATCCCACATGCTGTCAAACTCGTACGCAAAATGCGACGCGTTCAACCATGTTGTTGATGGTGAGGAGCGGCTTGATTCGAGAAGACTTGCGTTGAATTGTGCCGTCGCGGAGCTTGCGGTGGAGCGTGCCAAGTGTGAGACCAGTGGCGACCGACAGGTCGCGTAAAGTGGTACGCTGGTCTTCGGGAACTCCGCTCACGAGGGCGACGTAGTCAGTTGAGTAGAGCGACTTTGGGCCTACGCGACCAGGTCTTGACAACGGCATGCGAGCGTTTCGGCGGAATGCGCGCCATATCTTGCATACGGTGGTTCGATGGAGGCGTATTTCGGCTGCAGTCGCCAACTTGCCATTCTCAGCGAATCGTAGAAGGTGAGCGATGACCTCCATTTTAGTCTCGTACGAAAGTTCGCGTTTGACGCGCAAATTATCCATGGTGTTGTGTTGCTGAGGTCCCGTAGTTTTGAAAAGTGAACCAAGGATTTTTTTTATTCTGCGAGGGACCGATGGCGAAATCAAATTAAGGCGCGAAAACGAAGTTTTCACGTTGTCCAGTCAATGCAGACTCCCTCTAATTTTTTATTGTCTTTCGAACGTGATATTACACATAAATGTTGGACTAGAAATGAATTTTTGGGGTCGAGCAGTTGAGAAGTGTCGCCAGATTCGTGGAACAGAGGAAGTATCAAGATCATTGGCGAACCGGCGAACAAGTGGACCGTCACAAAAGCCGAAAAGGGGGAACAATGCATGCAACAACTTGCCCTTTGAAGTGAACGCTTACGTGGACTTGGCCTTGCAGCTGCAAACGGCAGCGAGCCCAGTGAAGATCCCCGGAAAACGGCGATGCTATGTGGTGGCGGAAGGCGACGAGTTCCTAGCTTCTGACGACAACCTCAAGGCGATTGGCATCGACATCGATCGGCTGTTGGAATAGGTGGCGACCCTGCAGCTAGAGGATGATGGGGATGACCTGGGGGACGGTGGTAACGCTCTCAAGGAGAAGTCCCATCGTTCCACCCTCCGTATCAAGGCAAGCAAGGCCCAGCTTCCCGAAGCCAAGGACGAGGTGAAAGCGGCACTCCAAGATTTTATAAACGAGGCCATGGATAACCAATTTCCAATCGAAAATGTGCAAGGTTTGTGGTGTTTCCTTACAAAAACATTATATATGGCGGCTCAAGTTCGATTGGTCCGACCCCCCAGCAAGGGTGAAACCATTGAAGGTGACCCCTAAGGATGGATGTGTTCCGTACCGATGTAAAGGTCGGAAGCATAACTTTCTTGAAGAGAGGTTCCTCAATCTGTTTACCAAAGAACTTTGCGATGCAGGTGTCATCAAGCGCAACCAGCAAAGCGCATGATGCAGTCCGGTGAACCCCGTCCTGAAGCCCGATGGCCGCATGACACTGAAGACAGCAGACCAGTGGACGACGACGTGTTAAAGAACTATCGTTTTACGAACGACTACCGGGTGGTCAACTCCATGACCAAGCCCAAGACCGGTACCATGCCGTTCCAGGCAACCATCCTCCAAATCCTGCGGGAGATGAAGGCGATGGGGTTTTTTACCTGCCAAAGTGCTTCTGGCAGTTCCCGCTGCACGAGGACAGCTGGGACATGCTGTCGTTCATGCTCAATTTCTGCGTGTATACCCCCGACAGGGTGATGCAGGGTCATGTGGACAGCGCGCTCTATGTGCATCCACGAACGAGGAGTGTTATCAGGAGATGCTGTTTAAGAAGATGCTGATCTGGATTGATGACATATTTGTATACGCCGAGAATGTTGAGGCCTATGTGAGAAATTCTTCGATCGAGTGGAGCACTTTGGTTTCAAGCTGAGTTCGTCCAAAACCAAGGTGTACACTCATGAGGTCAAGTGGTGTGGGCGCATTATCAGTGGCGAAGGCGTCAAGCGGGACCCGGAACCGATCCATTACTTGTGTGCAATTCCCTACCCTATGAACGCGGGTGACTTGCAACAATTTGTGTGTGAGTCAACTGGTTGCGGGACTCCATGGCCGAGTATGCATAGACGGTGAACCCACTCCAGCAATGCTTGACAAAGTCCCTCGAGGGTAAGGGCAAGAAGATCCGCATCACGTCTGGTGTTCACTTGGAACTACTCGACGGCGAAAAGAAAGCGTTCGAAGCAGTGAAGTCCAAGTTACGGGCGTCGGTTGAACTATCTCACCCTTGTGATGATGCAACGATGTGCCTAAAAGAAGCGTACTCGATTGCACGAGCGTGCGAGAAGCTCAACTACTTGTGATGCGGCCTACTGGATTCCGCATGTACTGAGACTACAAGAACCTGATCCATGTGTTTGCCCCCGGGGAAGAGTGGAAAGCACAAACCCGCTGGAAGCTCGGAAGCTCATGGGATGCTATTATTGGCGACTACCGCTATGATATTATCCACATCGACGGTGTCTACTACAACCTCTGGGTGGACATGATGAGTCGTTGGGGCCAACCGACGCCAAGTGTGATGGCGAAACTGTACTCGTCTGATGCGGTCACAATTGGACGAAGAAACGGCGCCCGATAAAGTCGAAGAAAGCGACACGACCACAACAAGCTTAGTGTGACCCTGTGTCGACGACATCCGCCAGGCACAAGAAAAACATGCGAGTGAACGACCGCACAGGACGACGAATGATGGCGAGTTATGGAAGGACGCCCACTGTGGCAGCATGGGACACCGTGGCCGCGCGGCACTGGTGGCCTCGATCAGGCGCCTATACTACCTCGACCACCTCGTCGACCGAGAGGCGGAATTCCTCCGGGGATGCTTACTGTGCCCTAATGTGAAAGGGGGAAGGGTAGTCCACAGACCGTATGGCACGCAAACGAAGGAATTCACTTCGACTACCTATACATGGGCGAGCCTACAGCGGCGCCAAGTATGTATTGATGTCCATGGCGGAACGGCACAGTGGAACGCATGAATCGCGACATCCTCCAAGTCATACGAGTGATGTTACGGGACTACCAGTTGGACGAGAAGGAATGGGACTACCTCCTACCGGTGGTGCAGCCCAACCTCAACCAAACTCCAGCAGTGTCATTAGCCAACAAGTCTCCTATGGAACACTTCACGGCCCTCAACCCAACGACCCCTTTGGACGTCGTTGTGGTGGGCATGAACAAGGATCTCTGCGAACTTAAGTGGCAACACAAGGACATCCAGAAGAACCTCGACGATCTACGAACAAGTATGCAAGCGATGCATAAGGAAGTGCTGAATCACAGACGAGCAAGGCGGCGAAATCCACAGAAGACTTCGACGCCAGCAACGTGACCGAAGGTGACTACGTGCTATGCTCAAGGTTGGATGAGCGCTACCATCCCAAGTGCTCATCACATGGGTCGCCCCGTACTGAGTCAAGTCAGTCGGCGAATTCTCCGTGATGTTGCAACACCTGGTGACATATGAAGAACGCAAAGCCCATACGCCATGCGTGAAGATGTATTCAAGAGCGAGCTTTGAAGTCGCAGAAGAAATCCGCGAACATGTATCCGAACAAGGCATTGTACTGAAGGTCAGTCAAATCCATCGCGGGACACAAGTTTGTCCCCGATGTGAGCGAATTCATGTTGGAAGTGTTCTGGGAAGGCTTTGAAGACTTCGACTCATCATGAGAGCTGCTCAAGCAGCTAATGGGTGAATGCCCAACCGTGGTCAAAACGGATGGCGGCCAACAAGAATGCCTTGATACACTGACCAAGGCGATGAAGCCAACAACTGCGGCGAAGTAGCGAAGCGATGGCCTATGTATAATGGCGTTGCTGGGGGGGTGTTGTGGTGGGTGGCTGTCAGCCATGCCCTGCCATGACACACAGGGACCCTTGGTGGGGTCCCTTGGCGCCAATCCTGTGAACCAACGCGTTAGATATACTCTAGTAGTACTAGTATTAGTATTAGGAGCTAGTTGAAGTGTCGGTCACCATGGTCAGCCAATCAGTGGCCAGCTGGGTCCACCTACCACTTCTACAGTTGCTCACTCCTAGTTTTTATCTGCAACGGACATAAAAATCAAGTGCATGGTTGACGGGAGATGGCGCTCCCCCATTTGGTTGTTTGTGTTGGCGCATTGCGGGAAACAACAAAGCAGACAAGGGCAAGTTTGTGTGCTACTACAATAGTTTCTATTGGTGTCGTCAAGCAGTTCACAGTTAACGTTATCCTAAAATTGCACTTGCAAAGCTGCACTTGCTAACGTTTCGCAATACTGTATCCTAGATTGCACTAGTAGTTGCGTAAGAGGTCTCAGAATTCTAACCATCAGATTTGACTACATGTAGGGTGTAACGACGTCACTCCAGTGGCGTCATAGGGTTATCGACCAATCAGAACAGACGTCACAGTTGACGTCAGTTTACGACCAAGCTCGATTGGCGTGCGGCGTGCTCGGCCATGGACACCAGAAGTTCCTTCTGCAGAGCGCACGTATATATATAGCATTAGATATAGTATAGTCACTGTAGTCATGCATGTAGATGTAGATAACGCCAATCAATCGGTTTACAATTTCCTCTGCGTTATCAACTCCCTACAGTTAGGGTGTGTTCCTTTATATAGCCCAATAAATTACTCGTCAGAGAAAGCTTAGATAAGATTGCCAACCAACTCGGGACATCAAATACTTCCCACAGTAAGGTAGGTGCGGCGATGATGGTCAAGAATTACGACTACAGCGTTAGAATTGTGTGTGGTGCACTAGCTTACCTGGTAGAAGTGTTGCACTAGTTTACCTGGTAGAAATGTTGCTGACATTCGAAATATTATTGATTGAAATTGCCACGTAGTAATAATTATGTATACCTTGTATACGCACATCTTGCGTAGATAATAAATGGAACAACGCGCGGACGAAAATCTAACTAACGTAGATTTCAAAT